CAGTAGATAACGATTGACATTGCATTTAAAATTTTGCAGATTAAAGTTGGTTGGAAAGCATGGAACTAGAAGGGAGTTCCACAAGCAAGAAGTGCGAGATAAGAAACTGTTAGCATAGAAGTTATGGCTACAATCTAGCTAGCTCAACTATAAACTGATGAGATCTCACCACCAGTCTAGTATTGTGCTTAATTTCATACAGTCTAAGTACCATAGCGAAGAGCTCATCTGAACAATTAGCATGAAAGTATTAATAGAAAAGACACAGAGAGGCAACCTTACGGCGATGGACAAGTGACTGAAACCGAGCCGCCAGATCAGGACCAATAATATTGCTGATTCTTCTTTGAAACTTAAGGAGCTCTGGGAAAATAGCAGGGACACCGGACCATATATGTCATCAATATTCTAAGCATGGACGAATGGTAGACTTATAGTTATGTAAGATAGATTCTGGAGAGAAAAATTGTCTCACCCGACACAGTGAACCAACTTAGCAGCTGATCTAGCGATGGATTCAATGTAGTCTTTCTACTTCATGTCAACTGGGAACGTTACTCCGAGAAGGCGCAATAATTCACTTTCTTGAAGGATAGCATCAGCCATGTTGATGGAAGGCAGAGTAGTGTTTCTCAGATGATTAATGGTGAGAAGTTTAGTTTTGGAGGCGACAAGCCATCATTTTCCCCAGTTAACGACGGTCTTGAGGCCGTTTTGTACATCAGCTGCCATTTTGATCTTGTCTGACTGATCAGCCTTACTATCGAGGCAGAATTAAGTGGTAGTGTCGTCAGCGTAGATGCTAAGTTGAGAGCTGATGTCATCGTGAAGGTCGTTAGCGTAGTACCAAGGATGGAGCACTGGGGGACACCCGCGTAAGTACGAGAGTATGTAGACGAGTGGCCGTTTAGGATAACTTTCATTTCAAGATTTGATAGGAACGATTGTTCAGCTCAAAAACGTGTCCGGAGATACCGTAGCTTTTCAGCTTGTGGAGAAGACTTGAATGGCAGACCTTGTCAAAGGCTTTCGAGATGTCCAATGCTACGGCCCAGGCTTCACTGTTTTTATTTGACAGACTCTTTCCACAATTATCGTTAGTACATCAGCAGTTGATCTGGGGAAACGAAAGCCGAAAGAAAATTGTTCAGTACACTCTTCAGGAGGTTTCAGTAATTATATTCCCTGTTAAACGACAGACAAATTCGACTTCAAATTGTTTTACCTCATTTTTATTGGTAATTCTGTTCATGATTTAACATTTTAAATCTATCAACGATCCTCTTTGAAAAGGATCGATCGAAAAGCTGTCTGCTTAAGATGAACTTGGCCACATTTCTCTTTTAAAGTTAATTTCAACATGTCTCTGCTTTGTCACTCTCTATCAACGTTTATATCCATTACACCGATAAACATCAGTTAGTGGGGGTATCTTTGTCATTGCCTAATATTTAATATGAGTTTTTCCTCAGTTTTGAATTTTTTTAAACAGAGCGCATTTTTAAGAAAGAAAAAAAGAAAGAGGGGGGGGAGAAAAGAAAGAAAATAAATAAAAACAATGACCTGTGTACAGCCAAAGGCGCGTTGATTAGGTGCTTCCGAAAAGTTTGCCGATATGAAACAGCTGAACCCCGATGAAAAGATTTTTTCGGCAGATATTCCGATTTTAAAAACGATCTTTTTTCATATAGTTTAGTCTTTTTCCTAACGTTCTCTTGCTTTCTTTTCCGGTGATCTAACAAGATCAGTTTCGCAATATTTGTAGCAGGTAATTTATTATTGAGGTAGTCATTTTGCTTTGTGTCAAGGCGAGAGGCGGTGTCCATTAATGCATCATTGCCAATGCCAAGATACGTCTGCAAAACAATGATATACACAAAGATAACGAAGAATGTAGTCATTTTGACTGCAGCAGGCAATGTTTATTTAAATTTGCAAGCGTTTGTATGACTGCGCATGCTGATTCAGTGCTGTTAAACGCTCGCAAGGCACGTAAAAAACAAAGAAACTCATGTTGAACAACAATGATAAAAAATCAGCAATCCAGATATTTTGGCGCAATTATCAGCAAAGATGGCTCCAAAATAGAAATAATTTCTAGTTCAGAAAAAACAATGGCAGCTGTCGCAAAAAAATAACTAAACCCCTGACAAAAGCAGCACAAAAATGGCGTCTGTCGCAAAACTAAGAACAATCTGGAATGACAAAGACATATGCCTGAAATCAAAGACCAAATTGTTGCGCGCATTGGCTTCCTCAACCTTTCTGCATGTCTGTGAATCTTGGACATTAACAACAGAATTCCAGCGAAGAATCTAAGCATTCGTAATGTGATGCTGCCTCCTATGTAAACCGTATCTCAAACGATGCAGTGTTCAGAAACAGGCCGACTGGAAAACCCCATAGCTACTGTCAAAAAGAGGAAGTAGAAATGGTGTGGCCACGTCAACAGAACCAGCAATTTTTCCCCTGACATCCTGCAAGTCACCAACTCAGGCAAAAGAAGAGACAGGAAGAGGAAAAAATGGGCTGAGTTTACTGTTGATTCCTTCACACAAACTTGGACATTCGTACACAGCCGAGACATATAGAGGAAGCTGGTCAGTTGCCCAATTGCGTAGCCACCCTACAGTCACACCCGGCCATAGGACAGATGATTGTTGCTAGTTCCAATCTGCAAGGAATTGCTCCTAAGAACATCTCCGACCCAAATTTAACTTTCAGCACACCTGGATAAATTTCAGGGTGCATTAGTATGCCTACCCGTTGAGAAACTCTAGATACTGGTAAAGGAAAAAAAGGGTTGTGTTATTTTATTTTTTCACGTATTTTTTTTATATTTAACAAGTGGTTGAAACAGCACATTCCTGCAAATCATTTTAAAATCAATCAAGAATTATATGGTGATTGTCTAAGTGTATCTTAAATGTGGCAAAAAGGTTGTAAGTATGGAGAACCCAGGGAGTAACAAACTCACTACTCAGTCGTAACTGATCTAGCGAGACAAGTCTGCTTACCATTACAGCACGTCGAGATACCCAAAGTGGTGACTTTCCAAGCGTAGCTTAGATGTGGCACTAGGTTGAAATTATGGATAAGCTTACTAATCATTACCTCAGTATCTGTCTATATTAAACATGGCACGTGGAACTAGAATAGTCTACCCTAGTGAGCGAAATAAAGGGTTCAGTTCGACAGTCCAACCAACTGAAGAAGGCCGGAGCGTACAATGGCCGAAACGTTGTAATAAATATGGCGACAAAGATGAGAAAAATAGTCCGAATAATGTAAATAGTATCATTACACCTCGCCGGGGTACCCCAATCTAGAATTATATGAATTGAAAGCAAAAGGAAAGGATAGGAAAGAATGAAAAATATAAGGATGTTATTCTAGTAATTTGAATCCATTTTTTGAACCAATTATAATGACGTCTATCTCAATCCTATTTTACCGTTCTTTAAATATATCATAACAGGTGGTGAAAATGAGTTTAAATACAACAATTTTCAACGCAAAACACAGACAGCAGATTGACAAGGATAAATCAACATAAACGACACCAAAACCTGAGCCTCATGGATTTTGAGCTTGGCATGGGATCGTCCGGATATTATTCGTTTAGAGTTCTTAAAATGCAATGAAATACTAAATGCACTTTTATATGTCCAGCAGCTGCAACCTGTCCATAAAGGTCTGATCGAAAAGCGCTCAGCGCTCGTCAATAAGAAAAGATAATTTGTTCCCCATGACAGCGCAAAGTCCCATACAGCAAGAATAACGCAGGGAAACACTTCTGAAACTCGGTTGGTTTATTCTACCCTCGCCCACCATATTCACCTGACCTAACACCAACCAATGATTACCTTTTTTGATCGCCGCAAAAGGCTCTGATGGCGAAAGTTTTCTCTAATGAAAACCAGATTCAAGAATTCCTCAAAATCTTTTTCATATCAAAACCTGCAGAATTTTATCCTAAAGTTGCCTGATAAGAGGTTCAGACCTGGCATCTCGGCTTGAATCACTTTTCCACCGCCGTAATGTAGCATCGCTGTGCCTTTTCTATAAATACTTATTCTTAATCAGTTAATCCCAAGCAAGGCAACAAAGCCACTAAGACGGAAATGAAGGGGAAATCTTCATACAAAAGATTAAATGATTTGACACAAAATAATATTAAAAAATGTTTAAGACAAAGGTAAGTGTTGTGTATGATACACCTAATTTACATAAGCGGACTACCGACCATATAAATATGGGTTGGTACCGGAAGCGGGGAAGATAGTAGAGACGGAATTTAGTCAACCCATTATGCAGGAACAGTCTTCCCAAGAATATACCAAAACTAACTGTAAATATTTTGTACCTATTCTTTGTTTCAAACATTTTGTTAACGTAAATTTTGTGTTGTATTATTCCATGCTTATTTAAGCTTCAACAGTAAGTGAGTTCGTTACTCACCGAAGACATAGGTTTGCATACGTTCAAAAGTAGACAAAGAAAGAGAGAGTTTAAAATACTTAGCTTTCTTGGATTGCTGAGAGAAAATTCTTTCAAGTGCTGCGTACTGGTTAGAGGCCGATAATATAATTGGCGAGTAATTTTACACTGGAGAATACTTCAGCGCTGGTCGCGAGCAATTGAAACGAAACCTTTCACATGACTTCAGACATTCTTTTCCTTAGTTTAATTTTTCTCCTCATTTTATATCAAAAAGAATTTCACGTAGACTCGCTACTGTCTTTCCTTCTTCTTCTTGGTTCACCGTCTAGTTTCTGTGAAGGCAAGGTTTTCATTTGTCCAAAAACAATTTCACATAGGCTCGTGAATTTCTTTTCTTCTCGACTCACCGGCTAATTTCTTTGAAAGGCAAAATCTTACATAGGCTCGTGAATTTCTTTCCTTCTTCTTCAATTCTCCGAATTTGAAGAGAGTGGATGGAAGGGGTTATTATTATTTCGTATTCATTACATATTTCACATTTACTACAAGTTCACTGAATGGTCTGTACGTCTAACCTGTTCGGTGGTTTCAACTTACGACTTGAACGTCGCAACTCTGGTCGGCTGTTTCCGTTTTTTTCTTGTTACGGAGCTCCTGTCGTTGATGATTTCTTTTTCTTCTCAGCTCACCGCGAATTCCTTTCATTCTTCTTCCTCGGTCTTCCGAATTTGAAGGGAAAGGGTGAAGGGAGTTATTATTCTGCACTCGCTACACACCCATTATTTTCTGCAGTATCTGCGCAGGAACTAATCAACCACGAGTTATGTGGACATTCTTGAACGAGATTCTAACGTGGTGTAAAATATAAAAACAAAAAAAAAAAAAAACAAGAGCTTACCACGAGACACACTGTACACACTTTTTGAACATGTGAACGTGGAACAAACAGACGTCAAACGAATCTCTTTGTCTCTCATACCGAAACTCCCCACTTGGAAATATTACTTAAGAAGTATCATAGCCCTTCGCTACTCCGTCTACGTGACCAACGGCAGACGTTATATGTCTTCGTGACCCTGACCTTTTCTTCATTGCGTTGCCATACACCCTTCAATTTAATTTCATTTAGTTTCATGTTAAGCCTAATTAATTTTTAGTTATTTCAGTGTTATGAACCAAGTCGGAATACACTTTGTGAAGATTTTTATATTTCGTAGCACCGCTGGTTTATTTTTCTTGAGATTTTTAGTACTTTGCAGGACCAGTTAATGTTGACACTCACTTTCCATATAACGCGGCGACCTCTCGCCGAACCCAGAGAGAGTGGGCGTATAAATTCCTCCTTGGAGGCTTATCATCTCTCAGTTGCGTCTCTGTCTTTGGGCAGAGTGTGCTCAGAAGCTTCTCTATCAAAGGACAGAGAGGCAACTAAAAAAATTATACTGAGAGGTGCCCAGCCCTGGGGAACAGCTACCCGAGGCCACGTCATCCCATTGCACCAGAGGAAGGGATCGGTGCTCGCACCGAGGTCAACGCAACCGACGGTTGCGGGGGCTGAGGGCAATTTTTGTGCTTGTCCTGGGTGTACGAACCTGGGTCCCCACCTAAAAAAGACCTTGTGTCACATTTCGTCCAAGTGGGAGGAAGGAGTTAATACTGAGAGGGGACAAGGAGGAGGAGGAGGAGAAATGCAGGCCCCTGGCCATTGTGTCCTGGGCGCTTGGAGGGGTTATGTATTGACTTACATTCCCATTTATATTTGTCTGCCTACTGCTAGTTGGGATACATACTGGTCCCTGTTTCCGGCATCTCTAGTGGACCTGCTTACAACAGCCCTGAACTTCCATGGTCCCTACTTGTTGCATGCGATATGCAACTCAAACAACCAACTCCGTACACTTCGGTTTTAATACTACGGAAAGTTCACCACTGGACCTGACCAGCAACCTCGCGACGCCAGCACCGGACATTGGATTTGACCAGTAACTACGCCAGCACGGGATATTTAAATGGAACCTTCTTCTCTTTGTTTTATATCGTCCAGACTTCAAATAACCGATTCGGGACACTTCGGTTAAAATACTATAGAAGGTTCACAATTCGACTTGACCTGCAACTAGTCAACGCCAGCACCTTCGCCGGATATTTGAACTGGACTTTCCAACTGTGGGCTTACATGTCAACTTAACTTACATGAAATCTACTAGTAACATTTAATCACAGATATAATATCTAGATCTTCTAGCCGGTTAGTAATCCTCGATTCTGCCTCCATTACCTTCGTTTGATCACGTTCCTTCTATTAATCACTACTATTATATCCAATGTAAATAAATTTTGTATTAATTATAAGTTGTCATCTTGTTGACCTGTCAGATTTCACGTCATTTATTTCTAAAATGTTAGTGAGCCTTTTATGACACTTATGCCTTACTGGGGCGCACAGGCCATGTTATATTGCGCCCCCTCTAGGGGTCTACTACAGAAGTTACCATAGTAGGTTATGTGTTTACAAGTGTTTATCTTCGGATAACGCCCTTAATACAAATATAAACCAATTTTTGGCTTTTTAAACATTCATGCAAAGATAATACTATGGTATATAGAGATGCAGGTTGGGCTGATACATAAGTAAAAGGCCAAATTTACTGTCTATAGTACTAGTTATTGTTGATTCCATTTGGTTACAGTGTTTAAAACGGTTGACTATCGTCATAGTACTTTTTGTGATTTGAGAGTTTATACAGGGTCGTTGTGTTTTTGGTTGACAGAAATTAATTTGTTGAATTCATCTTTTCCTTTTCTTCTGGAGTTGCACGTCCAGTCAAATTCACATCCGATGAATTTCCAACCCTTGCATCTCGAACTGCAACATCAAACCAGTTTCCCACTTCTGCTTCTGCTTCTTTGCCGTGCCCGTGGTCTTTTCTTCTTTTTATTGGGCCTGACACATCAGTGTTTTCCGTTTGATTTTTGGCGGGATGTGTTGTCATTGGTTGATTTTTTATGACGTTCACTGACCCACATAAGTCATGTCCGGGTTCTGTCAGTTACCGAGGATAGGAACAATAGAAGGAAAGGATGGAAGGAAATAGAGAAGAGAGAGAGAGTTTTCTTTCTCACTCTCTTAGTAAAAAGGAAAGTGTATATTTCCATATGGTGTTACTACTACCTTATCCTACTATATATTGCATGTATTGACAAAAAATTATATCCCTTAAAATAAAATATACAATATTCAAAGAGTTAATAAGTTTCTATCAGAAAGTTCTCGTGCTGAACGTCTAAAGTCCTTTAGCATATAAAAGAAAGAAGTGAAAAGAGTTCCTGTAAATGTGTATGTAAGTATGTAGGCATCTCTTGTAGGGACGTCCACTTGCTCGCTGAAAACACAACATAGTATGACGAAAAAAGGTCCCAAACTTAATAAAAACAAAGTGTTATCGTCAAGGGCCGCTATTGTGTTAAGAAAATTGTTTTTTCGATGAATAATGAATTTTTACAAGAATTGTTTTCATTTTTTAAAAATTTAATTATAATAATTTATAATTTAAAAATCGTTTAAAATTCTGCATTACTTCCTTTCTTTTAAATAGTGTAATTAAGTGGAAACTATATTTACGAATCAAAAATTGAAAAGCTTAATATAAGTCGTTTTGCACAAATTTAAAAAAAATAGTTAAATATTTTTTAGTTTAAACATCCCCATTTTTGCTTGTATGGCAGTCCATAAATGAAATTATTATTAAAAGGTCACATGTTGTAAGAATTGTCCTCCCTTTACAGAAAAATTCGCTTGTCTGTAATTCATAGCATACTGTTACGTCTCAACAGGCTTTGCACATGACCCCTTCAAAGTTTTAAAACTTTAAAATTAAAAAAAGATATTAAAAATATAAATTAATCTCTATCTATAAAAGGCAGAATGTGTGTGTGTGTGTGTGTTTGTGTGTGTGTGTAAGGAATGCACGGCCGCAATTTTCGGCGGATTTGCACCAAAATTTACATGCACAAGTTAGCGGGAAGGCCAAGACCGACTTTGCATTTCCCAACTCCCATCGATAGTGGAAATAATCGATTTTTTCATGCTTCTACGGCAATTTTCATGTAGTCTTCGGCCATTTTCTACTGGCCAGAGTGAGAGCCTATAGCTGGATGCCACGAATAGGCAGGAAGATTCTATTGGCCAGCGTGAGAGCCAACAGCTGACTGACACGAATGTTAACTAGCATGCTAGCATGCAAAAAAAAATCGATGGCTGCATTCGCGACAAGTGGGAAAAATTTAAATCTGCATGGCACTTTACTAGAATTGGCTCATTCGCTTGCTTAAACTCAACGTTGATTCTGATTCCGCAGAACTGGGTTGGGTGTGAAAAAGTATTTGTTGTTAACATTCTTTTTCCATTCGGTTTTTCCAGTTACGAGTCCTTTTTTTAAAGCTGATTGTTTTGTGTTCATTTTCTTTAGTTCTTTTTTCGTAACAGATTTAATGTTTAGCATAGAACTTAGAAAAAATTCGCAGTGTGAGATAGGCAAGAAGTAAGGCATGTAGCAACATCAGCACAGCAAAGGGCACTCCTTAAAAGGTAAGGAAGGGAAAAAATATTTTAAGTCAAGTAATAGCGATTGCTGTATGAGTCGTACGATTTTTGAATCAAGCACGGGCAACGCCGGGCCATGCTGGTAGTAATAAATAAAATACCATAATATGCCATAATTTATTGCGTTACCACTGTGATAATATTTCATTAATATCGCAGTTATTAAATTTTAAAATGAATTTAAGAAAATTTTATAGTATTTTAAATTTTATTATTTTTTCATAAAGCATCCTCAAACTTAAGGCTATAGTAACTAAAAGTCAGTAAAATATTAGATAATTTCTGAAAATATGTTAATTTGTAAATATTAGTAGGTAGTTAAAAAATGCGTTCATTTAGATTTCGTAAATTTATCTCAATTCTGATCATCCATACTTAGCTGTCAACACCTTAGCGAGTCGATAAGGTCATTCAACGCCACAGAAAAACAGAACACGGGTTAAGAAATGCTTGTATACTACGTTTTTTTATGTCAAGTAAATATTATTTGTTTCAAATCAGATTAATTTAACATTTTACATTTGCTAATTTTCCTTAAATAACGTGTCACAAATATATATTTTATTTTTTGTAGATTTTTAAAACCGATAATTAAATTTTATTTACAAATGTGTGAAAAATGTGAAAAAATGGCTACCTGTAATCGGTTTTGTGAAAGCGAGGAAATAATTGACACGCCAATCTATATAATTTCTATTTGAAATACACCAGAGTATTTTGCTTACTGGAAAAAGTAAATTTAATCCTTTATCTAAACTAAAAATAAAAATAAATCTTCACAAATGAGTTTTCATTTTTAAAAAAATCATTTTAAACCTTTGGTATCGAAAATTTATACCGAATTAGTGGAGGTGCCTATTTGATAGTAATCCTTTCGATTCTCTGTGGGATTTTTAGGCGTCCGAAAATTTAGGGCATGGGAGAAAGGATGAAATATTTCATCGACTCTTTGCATGGCCTGATCGTCTTATGGAATCATCCACATTTGCCTGTCACCCCCTACGGGAAGATTCACTCTTCCCCAAATAAACCTTTAACCAATCATCATTTTATTTTTCTAAACTCAATCCCCCATTGGTTAAAAAGACACTAAAATGTAGCAAAGTTGAGACAAAACTTTTTCCCGATCAGGTCTCTGGAGCCTATTTGGAAACTCGAAAATCTATAAAAAGAATCGGTCGACTTAATTCAAGTTAGTCAGACACTGAGAGACACCAGCAGACCCCACGCGTGCCAACACTCTGACTCAATAACCAATACCAACCTCTCAACAACTCAACACAACTCGCACAACTATTGCCTCGTGAAGAAACTTAACTTAAAGTTTATTAAAAAGTGACATTATCACTATAAAACAGTAATTGTACATTCAATTAACTTTAAGCCTATCAGTTAAAGGCGAACAACTCTTCATGACTTAAATCAACACTAGCAGTTGTCACACACATACACAGCACTTGAACTTATACAATTGACAATTTTCCTTGCAGATATGAAACTATTTTAATTCCACAAACAAACTTAAACGATCAACCTTTACACACTAAATTTCTGCATGGACAATCTTTGTAACCTTATTTCACTTGCCACATTTTACAAGCAACTTATTATCACTTTGTGCATGTCAAATATATATATATATAAATTCACGTTATTGTTGAAATCTCTAATGACGTTGTTTTCAGTAATTTCTTGAAGTTGATTTTTCTATTCAAGTTTGTTTGATTTATTTGTTGTGGATAAATACATTACGATCACTCACATTCTTGGCCTTCACAAAAAATCAACTTCTGATGAATCTTTACTCAGCATAGATTCCGCAACAGTATCTGTGTTTACAATTTTTTTCGTGAATTGTTTCTTGATTTCCGATTGTTTTAAAGATGTGATTCATTTGACGATAGTCCTTTTTTCTTTACCTACATTTAGGAGTGACGATCTCATGGCCTCTTTTATTTTTTTGTTTTTATTTCTTTATGGCGAAACAAAATGGTTTGCCAACTTTTAGTTTTGTACTTTATTTTTGAAATAGTGAACTTTTTATTTTTCTATCACTACAATACAATTCTACCTAGTCCCTTCTATAAATCTTGGTTTTCTTTTTCACCAGAGAACACGTTCTTTTCTCCAACCAAATTTTCGCGTTACGTAGTCCCTTCTAGTGATTTTCTTTTCACCCCGAACACGTTCAATCTGTCCCTCCTTCCAACCATCTGGCTTTTTACAATTTCCGTTTGACCATCCTTTTTTTTTTTCACCCAGAGAACACGTTCAATCTGTCCCTCCTTCCAACCATCTGTTTTTTACTTTTTACAATTTTCGCGTTACCTAGTCCCTTCTATGACCATCCTTGATTTTCACCCAGCTAACACGTTTCACCCGCATTACCTAGTCCCTTATGACCATCCTTGGTTTTTTTTCACCCAGCGAACACGTTCAATCTGTCCCCTTCCAACCATCTGTTCTTTACTTTTACAATTTTCGCGTTACCTAGTCCCTTCTATGACCATCCTTGGTTTTTTTTTTTTCTGTTTTCAACCCAGCTAACACGTTCAATCTGTCCTTTCAACCATCTGTTTTTTACGTTTTTTTTTTTACAATTTTCGCATTACCTAGTCCCTTCTAAGAACATCCTTGGTTTTCTTTTCACCCAGCGAACACGTTCAATCTGTCCTTCCTTCCAACCATCTGTTCTTTTACTTTTTTACAATTTTCGCGTTACCTAGTCCCTTCTATGACCATCCTTTGTTTTTTTTCACCCAGCTAACACGTTCAATCTGTCCTCCTTTCAACCATCCGTTTTTTACTTTTTACAATTTTCGCATTACCTAGTCCCTTCTAAGAACAGCCTTGGTTTTTCTTTTCACCCAGCGAAACACGTTCAATCTGTCCCTAGTCCTTCAACCATCTGTTTTTTACTTTTTACATCCGTTTTTCGCAATTTTACCTAGTCCCTTCTAAGAACATCCTTGGTTTTCTTTTCACCCAGCGAACACGTTCAATCTGTCCTCTTTCAACCATCTGTTTTTTACTTTTTACAATTTGTTACCTAGTCCCTTCTAAGAACATCCTTGGTTTCTTTTTTCACCCTGGCGAACACGTTCAAGTCCTTCCAACCATCATCTGTTCTTTACTTTTTACAATTTTCGCGTTACCTAGTCTAAGAATATCCTTGGTTTTCTTTTCACCCTGGGAACACGTTCAATCTAAGAACAGCCTTGGTTTTCTTTTTCACCCAGCGAACACGTTCAATCTGTCACCCTTCCAACCATCTGTTTTACTTTTTACAATTTTCGCCCAGTCCTTCTATGAACTAACACGTTCAATCTGTCCTGGGAACACGTTCAAACCATCCGTTTTTTACTTTTTACAATTTTCGCATTACCTAGTCCTTCTAAGAACAGCCTTGGTTTTTTTTTCACCCAGCTAACACGTTCAATCTGTTTCCAACCATCTGTTTTTTACTTTTTACAATTTTCGCGTTACCTAGTCCTTCTCTATCCTTGGACCCAGAACACGTTCAATTGGTTTTTTACTTTTACAATTTTCGTTACCTAGGAACCAGCTAACACGTTCAATCTGTCTTCCAACATCTGTTTTTACTTTTCAATCTGTTCCTTTCAACCATCCGTTTTTTATTTTTTTTACAATTTTCGCATTACCTAGTCCCTTCTAAGAAAGCCTTGGTTTTCTTTTCACCCATCGTTCAATTGGTTTTACTTTTTCACCCAGTCCCTTCTAACCTTGGAACACGTTCAATCTGTCACTCCTTTCAATCTTTTCACCCAGCGAACACGTTCAATCTGTCCTCCTTTCAACCATCCCTCGTTCAATCTGTCACCCTCCTTCCAACCATCTGTTCTTTTCAACCAGTCCCTTCTATGACCATCCTTGGTTTTCTTTTCACCCAGCTAACACGTTCAATCTTTTTCAACCATCCGTTTTTTACTTTTTTACAATTTTCGCATTACCTAGTCCTTCTAAGAACAGCCTTGGTTTTCTTTTCACCCAGCGAACACGTTCAATCTGTCCATCCTTCCAACCATCTGTTTTTTACTTTTTTACAATTTTCGCGTTACCTAGTCCCTTCTAAGACCATCCTTGGTTTTCTTTTTTTTCACCCAGCTAACACGTTCAATCTGTCCTCCTTTCAACCATCCGTTTTTTATTTTTTACAATTTTCAACCATCCAACCATCTTTTTACTTTTTACAATTTTTTACCTAGTCCCTTTGACCATCCTTGGTTTTCTTTTTTCACCCAGCTAACACGTTCAATCTGTCCTCCTTTCAACCATCCGTTTTTTACTTTTTACAATTTTCGCATTACCTAGTCCCTTCTAAGAACAGCCTTGGTTTTCTTTTTTTCACCCAGCGAACACGTTCAATCTGTCACTCCTTTCCAACCATCCGTTTTTTACTTTTTACAATTTTCGCGTTACCTAGTCCCCTAAGACCATCCTTGGTTTTCTTTTCACCCAGCTAACACGTTCAATCTGTCACTCCTTCCAACCATGTTTTTTACTTTTTACAATTTTCGCGTTACCTAGTCCTTCTATGACCATCCTTGGTTTTCTTTTCACCCAGGGAACACGTTCAATCTGTCCTCCTTCCAACCATCTGTTCTTTACCTTTTTACAATTTTCGCGTTACCTAGTCCCTTCTATGACCAACCTTGGTTTTCTTTTCACCCAGGGAACACGTTCAATCTGTCACTCCTTCCAACCATCCGTTTTTTACCTAGTTTTTACAATTTTTCGCATTACCTAGTCCCTTTTTCTAAGAACAGCCTTGGTTTTCTTTTTCAGCGAACACGTTCAATCTGTGTTACTCCTTCCAACCATCTGTTCTTTCTTTTTACAATTTTCGCGTTACCTAGTGACCATCCTTGGTTTTCTTTTCACCCAGCAACACGTTCAATCTGTTCTTTCAACCATCCGTTTTTTACTTTTTTACAATTTTTTCGTCGTTTCTAAGAACAGCCTTGGTTTTATTTTCACCCAGTCCCTTCAACCATCTGTTCTTTACTTTTTACGTTCGCGTTACATAGTCCCTTCTACGAATATCCTTGGTTTTTTCTTTTCACCCTGGGAACACGTTCAATCTTTTTCCAACCATCACCCAATTTTCGCGTTACCTAGTCCCTTCTATGAACCAAACCCACTAACACGTTCAATCTGTCCTCCTTTCAACCATCTGTTTTTTACTTTTTACAATTTTCGCATTACCTAGTCCCTTCTAAGAACAGCCTTGGTTTTCTTTTCACCCAGCGAACACGTTCAATCTGTCTCCTTCCAACCATCGTTCAATATCCTTTGGTTTCTTTTTCACCCAGGGAACACGTTCAATCTGTCCCTCCTTCCAACCATCTGTTCTTTTTTACAATTTTTTACAATTTTCGCGTTCAATCTGTCCTCCTTTCAACCATCCGTTTTTTCTTTTTTACAATTTTCGCATTACCAGTCCCTTCTAAGAACAGCCTTGGTTTTCTTTTCACCCAGCGAACACGTTCAATCTGTCACTCCTTCCAACCATCTGTTCTTTACTTTTTACAATTTTCGCGTTACCTAGTCCCTTCTACGAATATCCTTGGTTTTCTTTTCACCCTGGGAACACGTTCAATCTGTCACTCCTTTCAACCATCCGTTTTTTACTTTTTACAATTTTCGCATTACCTAGTCCCTTCTATCTGTTTGGTTTTCTTTTTTTCGTTTTTCACCCAGTTCTTTAACACGTTCAATTTTCAACCATCTGTTCTTTACGTTTTTTTTTTACAATTTTTTCGCATTACCTAGTCCCTTCTAAGAACAGCCTTGGTTTTCTTTTCACCCAGCTAACACGTTCAATCTGTCCCTCCTTCCAACCATCTGTTCTTTACTTTTTACAATTTTCGCGTTACCTAGTCCCTTCTAAGAATATCCTTGGTTTTCTTTTCACCCAGCGAACACGTTCAATCTGTCCCTCCTTCCAACCATCTGTTTTTTACTTTTTACAATTTTCGCGTTACCTAGTCCTTCTATGACCATCCTTGGTTTCTTTTACCCAGACCGTTCCTTTCAACCTCCGTTTTTTACACCCATTTTTCGAACCACGTTCTAAGAACAGCCTTGTTTTCTTTTCACCCAGCGAACACGTTCAATCCTTCCAACCATCTGTTCTTTACTTTTTACAATTTTCGCGTTTAGTCCCTTCTAATTGGTTTTCTTTTCACCCAGGGAACACGTTCAATCTGTCACCCTTTCAACCATCCGTTTTTTTTTACAATTTTTTTACAATTTTCGCATTTTTCACCTAGTCCCTTCTAAGAACAGCCATTGGTTTCTTTTTTACAATTCAGTTTTCAATCTGTCACTCCTTTCAACCATCCGTTTTTTACTTTTTACAATTTTCGCATTACCTAGTCCCTTCTAAGACCAGCCTTGGTTTTCTTTTCACCCAGCGAACACGTTCAATCTGTCCTCCTTCCAACCATCTGTTCTTTACTTTTTACAATTTTCGCGTTACCTAGTCCCTTCTAAGAATATCCTTGGTTTTCTTTTCACCCTGGGAACACGTTCAATCTGTCCCTCCTTCCAACCATCTGTTCTTTACTTTTTACAATTTTCGCGTTACCTAGTCCTTCTATGACCATCCTTGGTTTTCGAACACGTTCAATCTGTCACCCTTTCAACCATCCGTTTTTTACTTTTTTACAATTTTCTAAGAACAGCCTTGGTTTTCTTTTTCACCCAGCGAACACGTTCAATCTGTCCCTTCCAACCATCTGTTCTTTACCATCCGCGTTACCTAGTGACCATCCTTGGTTTTCTTTTTCACCTGGGAACACGTTCAATCTGTCCCTCTTTCCAACCATCCGTTTTTACTTTTTACAATTTTCGCTGTCATCCTTGTTTTCTTTTTCACCCAGGGAACACGTTCAATCTGTCCCTCCTTCCAACCAACCATCTGTAGTCCCTTGTAAGAACAGCCTTGGTTTTCTTTTCACCCAGCTAACACGTTCAATCTGTTCCTTCCAACCATCTTTTACAATTTTCGCGTTACCTAGTCCCTTCTATGACCATCCTTGGTTTTCTTTTTTCACCCAGTCCCCTAACACGTTCAATCTGTCACTCCTTTCAACCATCCGTTTTTTACTTTTTACAATTTTCGCATTACCTAGTCCCTTCTAAGAACAGCCTTGGTTTTCTTTTCACCCAGCGAACACGTTCAATCTGTCCATCCTTCCAACCATCTGTTCTTTACTTTTTACAATTTTCGCGTTACCTAGTCCCTTCTAAGAATATCCTTGGTTTTCTTTTCACCCTGGGAACACGTTCAATCTGTCCCTCCTTCCAACCATCTGTTCTTTACTTTTTACAATTTTCGCGTTACCTAGTCCCTTCTATGACCATCCTTGGTTTTCTTTTCACCCAGCTAACACGTTCAATCTGTCACTCCTTTCAACCATCCGTTTTTTACTTTTTACAATTTTCGCATTACCTAGTCCCTTCTAAGAACAGCCTTGGTTTTCTTTTCACCCAGCGAACACGTTCAATCTGTCACTCCTTCCAACCATCTGTTCTTTACTTTTTACAATTTTCGCGTTACCTAGTCCCTTCTAAGAATATCATTGGTTTTCTTTTCACCCTGGGAACACGTTCAATCTGTCACTCCTTTCAACCATCCGTTTTTTACTTTTTACAATTTTCGCATTACCTAGTCCCTTCTAAGAACAGCCTTGGTTTTCTTTTCACCCAGCGAACACGTTCAATCTGTCCCTCCTTCCAACCATCTGTTCTTTACTTTTTACAATTTTCGCGTTACCTAGTCCCTTCTATGACCATCCTTGGTTTTCTTTTCACCCAGCTAACACGTTCAATCTGTCTCCTTCCAACCATCCGTTTTTACAATTTTTTTTACCTAGTCCCTTCTATGACCATCCGTTTTTTGGTTTCTTTTTTTCGCAACACGTTCAACAACCATCCGTAGTACCCTTGGTTTTTTTTCACCCTACACGTTCAATCTGTCCTCCTTGGTTTTTCTTTTACAATCCTTGGTTTTTTCGCAGTCCTTCTAAGAATACGGTTTTCTTTCAATCTGTCCTCCTTCCAACCATCTGTTCTTTACTTTTTACAATTTTCGCGTTACCTAGTCCCTTCTAGTTTTCTTTTCACCCTGGGAACACGTTCAATCTGTCCCTCCTTCCAACCATCTGTTTTTCCAATTTTCGTTACCTAGTCCCTTCTTTTCGGTTTTCTTTTCACCCAGCGAACACGTTCAATTCTAAGAATATCCTTGGTTTTCTTTTTCACCTGGGGAACACGTTCAATCTGTCCCTCCTTCAACCATCTGTTCTTTTACTTTTTTTTAGTCCCTTCTAAGAATATTTTGGTTTCTTTTTCACCCTGGGAACACGTTGAATCTGTCCCTCCTTCCAACCATCTGTTCTTCCTTTTTACAAGACCTAGTCCCTTCAGAATATCCTTGGTTTTCACCCAGCGAACACGTTCAATTTCTCCTTCCAACCATCTGTTCTTTACTTTTTACAATTTCGCGTTACCTAGTCCCTTCTATGACCATCCTTGGTTTTCTTTTCACCCAGCTAACACGTTCAATCCTTCCAACCATCTGTTCTTTACTTTTTACAATTTTCGCATTACCAGTCCTTCTAAGAATATCCTTGGTTTTCTTTTCACCCAGCGAAACGTTCAATCTGTCCTCCTTCCAACCATCTGTTCTTTACTTTTTTACAATTTTCGCGTTACCTAGTCCCTTCTATGACCATCCTTGGTTTTCTTTTCACCCAGCGAACGTTCAATCTGTTCACCATCTGTTCTTTACCAATTTTCGCATTACCTAGTCCCTTCTAAGAATATCCTTGGTTTTCTTTTCACCCAGCGAACACGTTCAATCTGTCACTCCTTCCAACCATCTGTTCTTTACTTTTTACAATTTTCGCGTTACCTAGTCCCTTCTATGACCATCCTTGGTTTTCTTTTCACCCAGCTAACACGTTCAATCTGTCCCTCCTTCCAACCATCTGTTCTTTACTTTTTACAATTTTCGCATTACCTAGTCCCTTCTAAGAATATCCTTGGTTTTCTTTTCACCCAGCGAACACGTTCAATCTGTCACCCTTCCAACCATCTGTTCTTTCTTTTTACAATTTTCGCGTTCTAGTCCCTTCTATGACCATCCTTGGTTTTCTTTTCACCCAGCTAACACGTTCAATCTGTCCTCCTTCCAACCATCTGTTTTACTTTTTTACAATTTTCGCATTACCTAGTCCCTTCTAAGAATATCCTTGGTTTTCTTTTCACGAACACGTTCCTCCTTCCAACCATCTGTTCTTTCTTTTTTCGTTACCCTTCTATGACCATCCTTGGTTTTCTTTTCACCCAGCTAACACGTTCAATCTGTCCCGTTCCAACCATCTGTTCTTTACTTTTTACAATTTTCGCATTACCTAGTCCCTTCTAAGAATATCCTTGGTTTTCTTTTCACCCAGCGAACCGTTCAATCTGTCCTCCTTCCAACCATCTGTTCTTTACTTTTTTACAATTTCGCGTTACCTAGTCCTTCTATGACCATCCTTGGTTTTCTTTTCACCCAGCTAACACGTTCAATCTGTCCCTCCTTCCAACCATCTGACCAATTTTCGCATTACCTAGTCCCTTCTAAGAATATCCTTGGTTTTCTTTTCACCCAGCGAACACGTTCAAACACTTCCAACCATCTGTTCTTTCTTTTTACAATTTTCGCGTTACCTAGTCCCTTCTATGACCCTTTTTTTTTCAACGTTCAATCTGTCTGTTTCAACCATCCGTTTTTTACTTTTACAATTTTCGCATTACCTAGTCCCTTCTAAGAACAGCCTTGGTTTTCTTTTCACCCAGCTAACACGTTCAATCTGTCCTCCTTCCAACCATCTGTTCTTTACTTTTTACAATTTTTTTAGTCCTTCTAAGAATATCCTTGGTTTTTTTCACCCAGCGAACACGTTCAATCTGTCACTCCTTCCAACCATCTGTTCCTTTTTACAATTTTTCGCGTTATAGTCCCTTCTATGACCATCCTTGGTTTTTTTCACCCAGCGAACACGTTCAATCTGTCCTCCTTCCAACCATCTGTTCTTTACTTTTTACAATTTTCTTAGTCCCTTCTATACCATCCTTGGTTTTCTTTTCACCCAGCTAACACGTTCAATCTGTCCTCCTTCCAACCATCTGTTCTTTACTTTTTACAATTTTCGCGTTACCTAGTCCCTTCTATGACCAACTTGGTTTTCTTTTCACCCAGCGAACGTTCAATCTGTCACCCTTTCAACCATCCGTTTTTACTTTTTCAATTTTCGCATTACCTAGTCCCTTCTAAGAACAGCCTTGGTTTTTTTTTTTCACCCAGCGAACACGTTTTCAACCATCTGTTTTTTCAATTTTGCGTTACCTATTCCCTTCTATGACCATCCTTGGTTTTCTTTTCACCCAGCGAACACGTTCAATCTCTCCCTCCTTTCAACTTTCTGGTCTTTACTTTTTACAATTTTCGCGTTACCTAGTCCCTTCTATGACCGTACTTGGTTTTCTTTTCACCCAGCGAACGCATTCAATCTCTCCCTCCTTTCAACGTTCTGGTCTTTACTTTGTTTTTTACAATTTTTGCTTTACTCTGCTCATTCTCATGACCATCCAGCCTTTTTTTTTCTCATCCTGTTCAATGAGATATCTGCGAATACGACATTCGTTTTTATGTACTTAGCTTTTGAAATACATCTTTCGTTATTACTCCAATGCGGCGTTTCTCAACCGGTGTTCCGCAAAATTTCCCAAGGTTTCCGCGAGAACAGGTTAGATTAGCTAATGCACTATTGACTTTTTATTTAATTTCATATACACAATATTACTAAACACACACAATATTTTCTTGGTTATTGTAATCTTGTAATACAGACATCATCCTATCTAACCTCTTATGTTATTAAAAAATATAACAATCATTGGGAATATATTTCGTGATGTCTAAACGGGGCCAGTGTGAAACCATCTTCACTCGTCAGAAGAATCACAAGCTCATAAGACTAGTGATGAAGAATCACAAGCTCATAAGACTAGTGATGAAGAATCACAAGCTCCTGACCAACTCCTTTGCACTAGTAGTTCAACTATTTTATTTAGCATTACCGAAAATTTTGACAAAGAAGTATTTATTTTTCCTTAAACTAGTTATACAAAAATATATATTATGATATTTACTACTTGAACTACAATGAAAATAAAATGAGAAAGATATGTTATATAATTTTGTTTTTGTGCAAGGGTTCCTTGAGGCATGTAATTTATTTTAAAATTTACGCCAGGGTAAAAAGGTTGATAAACGCTGGTCCAATGCGTGAAAGACTCTTACACAATTGGACATTGAACTGAAGGAATTTGTTTATTTGCAATAAATTTATGTGAAAAAAGAAAAAGAATTGTGTAAAAGCTTTCTCAAAAATATTCTTTTTGGTGCCTAATAAAAAATTAAACGAAGTAGAGAAAAATGTTTATGTGAAAGTAGAACTTAGATGATAAAGTGGGACTTAGATTAATTGATAATGTCCTTGGTAAAGAGAGACAGAAAAAGTTCATACGTTATTTGTTAATGTTCTGACCTGTCAGGAGTCGAAAGGTCAATTGTAGCAGTGAAACGTCTGTTATTTAATGAAGTGTCGAATTAAGAATTACACAGTCAGCTGTGTATCTTTGATGAAGGCTTGCTTTGCGTCTGGATTTTCGGAGTCTAAAGTTCTTGCTCTCAGTTGAAAATGTTAATTGATGTGATTGATCCTATCTGACCTGTCAACTCACTCTAAACGAGGCATGAGTGAATAGCGATTTTAACCCGTTGGCAACTTTCTTTTTTCAGGTCGGCAAGCTCACAAAGATATTTTCAAATTATCGTGTTTCAAATTTCGTGTTTTCTGATTGCTAGAAAATAATCCAGATGATGAGTTTTCTTCTTAGTCCTTTTTTATCTGGACATTAAATTTTAATTACCCTGAGTACATAGCATCGCCACAAACAAGCTCAAAATCAAGGCTTATCAAGAAATTTCCCGGACGAACATCTCATTCGTTAATAATGCCTTCGCTCTTAGTAAGGGGCATTTTTATAGAGAAGACACATATCTAGTCAGTCAGTTATGTATCATGCGTGATACATATATCTTTCGATATATGACTGACGAGGCAGATTTTTTCCCGCAGTAGGTTGCCATTTCTTTCTGCAGTAGACCAGTTGCCATCCATGGCTGTAGAACCCAGTCTGTCTTGCTATTTACTCATAGCGTGAGTGGGAGTAGATATCTTTCCCAAGGGTATTAGCATGTAAATGAATGTAATGGATTCGACTGGAATATCTAGTAAATTCACTTATTTTGAATTTTAAAAATATTAATTATTACTTATGTGTGTTTATTTAAATATTACTTATTTTGAATTTTAAAAATATTTTTTCAGCAGTTGAAAGATTTCATTTATTCCCTAAAAAAAAAAAGAAAAAGAAAAAAAGATCCACACTGTTCTTTTTCTTGGAAAGTAACTGGGCGGCAGGATTGAAACCTCGATCCACAAAATATGATGTTGAGAAGGCAATAAAATACGTCATTTTTTTGACCCAGAATGCTGGGTAGCGATCAGAAATATCATTTTTGTAACCAAAATACTTGATATGATTTTTTAAAAATTTGACCTCAACTCAATATCATTTTGGAGTGAAATCAGTTTGTAATGATATGTAGATTAACTAATTAACATATCCGGAATATCCAGGCTATATAATGACTCCGATTAGGAAGAGGAGGAGCGACACCGCATGAGCATTAACACGAAAGACTTAGGACTTCACAACACAGTTCTTCCTCCATAATCCCTGTCTCCCCATTGCTCATAACTAAGAATGACTTGATCACCCAATCTGGTATCTTAGGCAAAAAAAGATCCTGAAATCTGTTAGACATGTCTCTGTGCTTTTCATCCGGATGGGCGCGATATATTTGAAGGTCATCATATGGTATCCATTCTCCCATTTCAATAAAGCTTGGAAGAGTTCACGGCGGGCTATGTTACGCTTGAATAACTGAGATAAAAACATTGACCCTTATATGGTTGAATTAATTTCCTTGCAGTTGTAAATGAACGTCATTGAATTTGGTGGATATATCAGACAAGTAAGCAATGTTATTCGACCTACAGGACTTTTTCAGGAGGCGATGTTTATCAGCCCTTTTTAATATATTAAGAGAGGTCGGGAGAGAAGCAGGCCTTTCTTAGAACCACGAATGAATGCCCAGTTAAGGAAAAAATTAGAAGATAAAAAAGAAATAAAAAAGTAACAAAAAAAGGAAGAAAAAACACAATTCCTATTAAATATTGAGATTACTTGTAGCCTAAAATATGAACGATTCAAACTTGAAATTTAACTGTAGACCCGTCCTGAAAAATATCTTAACCGGAAGTCAAACACAGGATTTTTTTTTAATAATTTATTCGAAAATTCTTTTAGAGGTAGGTCTACCATTTTTAATTTTTGTCTGATTTGGTCATTTGAATTTTTGTTTCTGTTCTCTTTCATTGTAATTGATGTTCTCGGGTGTATTTTAGCGTTTAAATTTTAGTTTAAATTTTAAGTTTGAACGGTTTGTAGGAGGATGAGGTAGTAATACATTTTCCTCTTTACTAAGTGAGTGACAAAGAAAACTCTCTCTTCTATATATTTCCTTTCCTTCCCTCTATTGTTCCTATCCTCGGTAACAGACATGAACCTGGACTTAGTTTATGTGGGTCAGTGAACGTCATAAAAAAAATCATCCAATAACAACACATCCCGCCAAAAATCAAACGGAAAACACGGATGTGTCAGCCCCAATAAAAAGAAGAAAACCACGCACGAGACTAGAGACTCCGCAGTGGAGAGGAACTGGATTCGAGGTAGCAGTTCGAGACGCAAGGGTTGGTGATTCATCGGCTGTGAGTTTAACCTGACGTACAACTCCAGAAGAGAAAGAAGAAGAAAGGATGAATGCAACAAATTAATTTTCATCTACCAGAAGGAACACAACAACCCTGTATGAACTCTCAAATCACAAAAAGTACTATGACGATAGTCAACCATTTTAAACACTGTAACCAAATGGAGTTAGCAATAACTATTACTATAGACAGTAAATTTGGCCTTTACTTCATCTCTATATACAATAGGTTACAAGTAATCTCAATATTTAATAGGAATGGTGTTTTTTCTCCTTTTTTCTTTTTTTAAATTTTTCCTTAACTGAGCATTCACTTGTGGTTCTAAGGAAGGTCTGGCCCTCTCCCCGACCCTTAATATACTAAAAAGGTCAGATAAACATCGCCTGCTGAAAATGCCCTGTGGGCCGAAAATCATTTTACCAAATAAGTTATAGTGTAAGTACATCTTGATAAATAACTTAACTGGAAGTCAAACGCATTTTTTTTTTTTTTTTTTTAATTATTCGAAAAATCTTTTAGAGGTAGGTCTACCATGTTTAATTTTTGTCTGAATTAGTTGAATTTTTTTCTCTTTCTTTGTAACTGATGTTCTCGGTTGTATTTGAGTGTTTAAATTTTAGTGTAAATTTCAAGTTTGAACCGTTCATGTTTTGGGTTACAAGTAATAAATATTTAAAAGAAATTTGAGTATTCGAACTTAAGTAAAAATTAATAATTTATCTTATTCTCATCTCCCACCTTACTAACTCCCATCCACAAACCCTTTGCTCACTAACAAATTGGAGGGAGGGGGCTAGAATTTTTTTTACTCCCCGTCGTACAGGTATGTATGCATGTCTGTTTGAGGGTCATAACCATTTAGAAAATATGAAACAAGAGATAAATCGGCTAAATGCAGCGATCAATTTTGAGTTCTTCTGTAGTTTATTGTTGCCTATCGCATCTACTCCTCCCTACCTATTGTGATGAAGGCCTAATCAAGAGCCTTCCACAGGACGTAGCTTAAATGTCGCCCGATATGGCGGCTTTTAAGCTAGTAATTGTTATATAAACGGGATACACTGTAAAGTGAAGGCAAAATACTTTTCAGGTATAATGTATGTGTGGTGTATTTTATGGTTCAGATGTGTCCCTGCCGCCCTCTGGTTGCCTACTTCTTTTTCTCACTGCTCCCCCAGATCTTCCCACC